ATATATATGTCCTGTGTGTGTGTGTGTGTGTGTGTGTGTCCGTGTGTGTGCCTGCTCGTGCATACGTGCGTGTGTCTCCGTTATTGTTTCCTTCCATATTCCCTTTGGCACTACTCGGATCACTTACGGCAAGTCGTTTGGTCTCCTGGTAAGACTAGGGTTTTATTAAAAGTTTTAAAAAATGAACCAGGAAGGATAAAAGACATTGTGTCCCGCTCAGGATCCGAACCTTCATTTTGTTCAAGTCAGCCAATTGAACCAACCCCATCCCCACCTCCATGGTCGACTCGGTTTTTATTTAATTTTTTCTTTGGTAAGTGTTTTACGGCGTTCGCAACAGCATAAGGTCATATGAGAGCGCGGGACACACCAAAGATTTTCGGAGGAAATTTTGATGCCCGAGTGGCGGCTGAAGCCTTTTCTTATATTATCGATTTTGGACCACAAGGGATCTTTAACATGCACAACTTGCACACGGGACATCCTAGATTTTTCGCCCTTATCCGAGAAGGCTAGGTGTAGATCTTATCTGCCATAAGATCAGGGGTGCGGCTGAAAGACAGCAGTAAGATGGAGCCAAGGAGAAGCAGTAGAAAGGCTGCAGAAAGAGTCAGGAGCCCAGAGGAGGGGGCAAAGGAGGTGAGGGGGTGAGGACAGAAAGTGGAGACGAAAGCAGACGACAGGACATAGAGAGCAGGAAAGGAGGTGAAGTCATGAATGAAAAACGTGTAAAACGTGTGGTGTTCAGGAACAAAATGAAAACTTAATAATTAAACGTTATACTGGTAACGGTACATGTACTTACCTCTTTATCTGTAACTTACCGTGCCATAAAACTGCCAACGAAGCCTGACTTGTCAAAGTTTTGAAAGTTAACTCTATCCTAGGGCCATCATGGTATACACTTGCTTGCTTATTTCAGTGTTAAACTTAGCTTTACAGACTTCAACATAAGTTAAGTAAGGACCACTTGCAAACACTCTGATGAGTGGTCTTCTTGGGTCGACCTGCACGTGGGCATTCTTGAACTGATCCAGTGGCTAGGTGGCGCTGCCTCAAGCAGACTGACAGAGTGTGACACTGCAAGCCTTCTGGCAACTTCTCTGGCTCCACCTCCATCCTGCAGCCATGCCATAGCTCTGGCACTACCAATGTCTCTCAGCTTTCGTCTTGGTTGATGCGACACTGGACCGGGTTACATTGCCATCAAAGTGAGAACAGTTCTAGACCGTACGTCCGTTTATGATGTATATCAGAAATTTTAACTGAGGAATGTTCGTGGTGTCGCACACAAGTCGATAAAAACTGCAAATTTGGCTTTAAAAAAATTCCCCGATTATTTCCGTGCGGCACGTGGTGATTTTGCCACTTTGATAAGCTTTGCAGTACGCTTTGGTAATCCATTAACACTTTCTGAGTAAACAAGTTTGAGACATTCCTTGCTGGGTTTTTTTTTCGGGATTTAAAAAAAATCACGGGCAGTCGGTAAAGGTGGTCCATAACTTATGTTGAAGTCTGTACAATTCAGTTAGGCAAAGACTGGAGGTGTCGGCGTACGTTTGTGTATTGGGGGGAGGGGTGTCTGTGTGTGCGTGCGTACGCGTGGTGTGTGTGAGTTGTGTGTGTTTGTGTGTGTGTGTGTTTGTGTGTGTGTGTGTGTGTGTGTGTGTGTATGTGTGTGTATGTGTGCACGCGTTCGTAAGTGTGCG